AATCAACCCTGAATCCCTGCAGTAAACCTCACTTTATAATGATCTATCACCCTGTTACATATTGCTAGATTTACGTTGTTAGTATTTAGGTTAGGATTGTTGTTTCTGTGTTCATGAGAGAGACTGGCATGGCATTTTCCCTCCTGGGCTCCTCCTAAGAATCTGGAATCAAGGTACTGCTGGCCTCACAAGGCACGGCGGGGTGCGCCTCCTGCCATGTTCTCCGTAACAGTGTGTGTAAACTGCTGCTATCTACTGCTCAAATATGGGAATGAATTCACACACGGCTATCCGGGTCTAGAGTTTTCTTTGTGGAATATTTAATTATGAATTTAATTTTTAAAATAAATATTAAGCATCCCAGATTTTCTGTACCTCTTGGTAAATTATGGTTTTCTAAAAAAACTTCCTCTAAGTTATCAAATTTGTCGATGTTTATAATGTCTCTACAGTTCTTTTTAACGTGTAGGATTGGTAATGATCCATTTTCATCCTGATACTGGTAATCTGTATTTTCTCTGTGTCCTGATTAATCCTGTAGGGGTTTAACAATCCTTCCAAAGAGCCAGTTCTTTTGGCTTTGCTAAGTTGCCTACCAGGTGTCTGTTAGCAACTGCATACATTACTACCTCACGCAGCACACGTCTGTGGCTTGCTCAGTCTGCCTTCCATGTGTCTGTGGCTTCTCTGATGATGTGAGGATGTCCCAACGCTTTAACACCGTTCGCCTCCCCTCTGTCTTCTGGGCCTTCCTCTCACTAGCACACACCAGACCATATCTGTGGGAGTCCTCATCATCACTGTTCCACAGCTGACGTCCACCCAGGCGCAGCCACATCCAGCTGCTCCCAGTGTCCCTTCCTCCCTGTGCCGGGACCGTGCTTCCCCGAGGTCAATCCTTTTCCACCAGGAGGGGGCGGGATTGTCTTCACCAGGGTGCAGCTGGAGACTGGCTATTTGTCTCCTGTGCTTTCAAGACGTGCTTCCGCTGTCTTCTGGAACCCATCGTTTCTTCTAAGAAAGTCAGGTGTCAGTCTTGCTCCTTTAAAAATCATGTGGCTTTTTTCTCTGCCTTTAATGTGCTCTTATAATTTTTCCTAGTTTTAATCTGCTTTTGTAAGATTTTATTTTTGTCTTTGGTTTTGAAACTTTTATTATGCTATAACCAAGGGTGGTTATTTGCTTTTTGTTTTGACAGTCTTGCTCTGTCACTCAGGCTGGAGTGCAATGGAGTGATCTTGGCTCACTGCAACCTCTGCCTACCCGGTTCAAGTGATTCTCATGCCTAGGCCTCCTGAGTAGCTGGGATTACAGGCACCCACCATCACACCCAGCTAATTTTTGTATTTTTAGTAGACACGGGGTTCCACCATGTTGGTCAGGCTGGTCTCAAACGCCTGAGCTCAAGTGATCCACCGGCCTCAGCCTCCCAAAGTGTTGGGATTATAGGCATGAGCTGCTGTGCCTGGCCAAGCGTGGTCTTTTAAAAGGAGAAATTTATCTATTCATAGAGCTTCTTGAACCTGTGACTTGAAGTATTTGGACAGCTTTGGAAAATTCAAGCATTACCTCTTCAAATATTGTTTTTGACCATTCTCTCTCTTTCCTGTTCATCTAGAACTGTAACTATATTCTTTAGATTTTTTTAAATCATTTTTTCTTTTGTGTATAAGTTTTCTTACCCCCTGCCTTCTAACTCACTAACCCTTTTTACCGCTTTGCCTGCGTGGAGATGTAGCTACCCTACTGAACTGTTCATTTCAGTTATGATACTGCTCTATACTGGAACTCCCTTCTTAAAATAAAATTTAAGTTCTCTGTTAACAGTCTATACCATTGGCCGCAGGCGGTGGCTCACACCTGCAACCCCGGCACTTTGGGAGGCCCAGGCAGGTAGATCACGAGGTCAAGAGTTGGGGCATCCTGGCCAACATGGTAAAACCCTGTCTCCACTAAAAATACAAAAACTAGCTGGGCGTGGTGGCCCACACCTGTTGTCCCAGCTACTCGGGAGGCTGAGGCACATGAATTGCTTGCACCTGGGAAGTGGAGGTTGCAGTGAGCCAAGATGGTACCACTGCACTCCAGTCTGGCCACAGAGCGAGACTCTGCTCAAAAGGAAAAAAAAAGTCTATGCCATTTACTATCTTCTTTCACATATTAAAAAAAGCAGGTTGAGTATCCCTCATCCAAAATGCTTGGGAGCAGAAGTATATCAGATTTTGAACTTTTATTCAGATTGTTTACTTTTGTTTCAGATTCTGGAGTGCCTACTTATTGGATGCCCATTCCTCACCATGACTCCGAAACCTAAATGTTCCCATGCGCATCCCCTCTGTGCACCACGTCGGCACTCAGGCTACTTATTGGATGCCCATTCCTCACCACGACTCCGAAACCTAAACGTTCCCATGCACATCCCCTCTGGGCGCCACGTCGGCACTCAGGCTACTTATTGGATGCCCATTCCTCACCATGACTCCGAAACCTAAATGTTCCCATGCGCATCCCCTCTGTGCGCCACATCGGCACTCAGGCTACTTATTGGATGCCCATTCCTCACCACGACTCCGAAACCTCAATGTTCCCATGCGCATCCCCTCTGTGCTCCACAGCACTCAGGCTACTTATTGGATGCACATTCCTCACCACGACTCTGAAACCTAGATGTTCCCATGCGCATCCCCTCTGTGCGCCACGTCGGCACTCAGGCTACTTATTGGATACACATTCCTCACCACAACTCCGAAACCTAAATGTTCCCATGCGCATCCCCTCTGTGCTCCACGGCACTCAGGCTACTTATTGGATGCACATTCCTCACCACGACTGTGAAACTTAGATGTTCCCATGCGCATCCCCTCTGTGCGCCACGTCGGCACTCAGGCTACTTATTGGATGCACATTCCTCACCACGACTCCGAAACCTAAATGTTCCAATGCGCATCCCCTCTGTGCGCCACGGCACTCAGGCTACTTATTGGATGCACATTCCTCACCACGACTCCGAAACCTAAATGTTCCCATGCGCATCCCCTCTGTGCTCCACGGCACTCAGGCTACTTATTGGATGCACATTCCTCACCACGACTCCGAAACCTAAATGTTCCAATGCGCATCCCCTCTGTGCGCCATGTCGGCACTCAGGCTACTTATTGGATGTACATTCCTCACCACGACTCTGAAACCTAAATGTTCCAATGCGCATCCCCTCTGTGCGCCACGGCACTCAGGCTACTTATTGAATGCACATTCCTCACCACGACTCCGAAACCTAAATGTTCCCATGCGCATCCCCTCTGTGCGCCATGTCGGCACTCACGCTACTTACTGGATGCACATTCCTCACCACGACTCTGAAACCGAAATGTTCCAATGCGCATCCCCTCTGGGCGCCACGGCACTCAGGCTACTTATTGGATGCACATTCCTCACGACTCTGAAACCTAAATGTTCCCATGAGCATCCCCTCTGTGCGCCACGTCAGCACTCAGGAGGCTTCAGATTCTGGAGCCGTCTGGATTCCGGATTTTTAAATTAGGGATGCTCACCCTGTAGTGATTTTAAGTTGAGTGTTTAACTGACTACCTCAATATCTGCATGGGCTGCTGGTCGGTTTCTACTTAACTGTCTCTCCTTGACTTTCGTAATTGGATTCTGTTACCTGTGATGCCTAATGAGTTCAGCTTAAACCTCAGACACTGTATGAAAAATCGCAGATTCCAGATGACAGAACTGTCCCATCTCCGGACAGACAGCGCAGACGTGACTCCGGGCTACGCTTTAGGTTTTGGTGGTTAGGGCTGGTCTATTTCTGGTTTACCTCCGTCTCTCATGGTCTCAACTGGAACTTGTGTTTACAAGAGCCCCTCCTCCCGGGTGGGCCTTCAAATCTGACCTTTGTCTTCTAAGTACTCTCAGGGTATACCCCACTGCTGTTCAGCTTTTCTTGTAAAGCGCTTGCTGGTTGCCCTACTGGACTCTCACATCACACACACACCAGTGACTACGGATCAGCAAAAGCCTGCCTCAGGGGAAAACAGACTGACTGTTGCAATAACCGTGCACTCCAGGGTTTTATTCCTAAGGGTCCTCAACTCCACCTTCGGTCTCTTTAGCCCAGTAAGACCACTAAAGCTATAAGCCACCACGGCTGTTCAGTATCGCTAAGCTGAGACACAAGCTGGCAAATGCCCTGGGGGTGAGAAGGAAGTGATGGTGAGCCTCAGTGACCTGGGAATGCGTGCCTCTCTAGGCCTGGCTCCCAGCTGCTCCCACGCCTCCCTCATGCTGGATCTGTGTGTGTCTGCGTGCCTGTGTTCATCTACATGTGCATGTTTCTGCATGCGTGTGCAAGTGTCTTCTTTCTGTTTGTTTTGAGACAGTCTCACTTTGTCACTGAGACTGGAGTGCAGTGGCACAATCTTGGCTCACTGGAACCTCCACCTCCCGGATTTCAAGCGATTCTCCTGCCTCAGACTCCCAAGTAGCTGGGATTGCAGGTGCTCGCCACCGTGCCCAGCTAATTTTTATATTTTTAGTAGAGATGAGGTCTGTCCATGTTGGCCACGCTGGTCTCTAATTCCTGACCTCGGGTGATCCACCCGCCTCAGCCTCCCAAAGTGCTGGGATTACAGGTGTGAGCCACCGCGCACAGCCACATGTGCATGTGTTTTTAGGGTTTACAGTGGCTGTCAGCAGGAGGGCTGGTCTGAGCAGTGAGTCCTGACTGGCACATGGAGCCATCGGCAGTCATTCTTTGGGAGGTGAGTCCTGCCTGGCACGTGGAGCCATCAGTCATTCTTTAGGAGGTGAGTCCTCGTCAGGCACCGTGCCGGAGCGCAAAGGTTAAGACGCCCATGTTCTCAAGGCTGTGCATCAGGGCGCCCTCAGGCGAGGCCCTGCCCTTGGCCCTTCCCCCTCTTCCATGGGGCACACATGGCAGTGAACCACGGGCTCTCCCCCAACAGCCCTGACCCTGGTCAGCACTCGGCACCCACCTGTTTACTGCCCCTCGGAGCCACGGGAAGCAGTGCTCTGGACTTTTCTGCAATTTTCTGTTGAAAGAAGTACAAGAGAAGAAAGACAGGAAGAGCAAAAATAAAGGCAGGGAAGGAAGAAGAAACGGTCGGATGAGTGCAGGGCTCTGGGCGATGGCACCGCAGAACACGCCCTCCACTCCCAGGAGGCCGGGACCGGGGTCGGGGCTGAGCTCTGTTAGCGAGTCGCTGGATGGCCTCTGCCCATGCATGGGAGCTCTCTGGGCCTCAGTGTCCTCACCTGTTAGAACAGGGTGAGACCTGTTCTTCCTGCTTCCCCAGAGCTGCTGTGGGGCGGCTCTTGAAGGTAAGCATCCTCAAGGACACATTCCCTGATGCACAGTCTGGATCCTGACTGCCCGGAGACTGTCTGCAAGGACAGCCCCTGGCTCTGCCTTTGGGGATGGGGCTGCATCAGGCCCACCCGGGGACAAGATAGCTGCGAGGGTGCTCCAGGAACTGAGGCCTGCCCCACCTGGCCTGCAGGCCCCGCCCCCACACCTCACCTTCTGTACCACTCCGTAGCGCTGAATGGCATCTGAGAGCTGGGCTTTCAGCTGGTCCAGCTGAGAATGCTCCTGTGGCAAAGAGAGGGCGTGGCTTGCACGGCATGGGAGGCTTTGCCCGGCCCCAGCGGCCCCACCACCTTCTCCTGCACCCACACCCCACCTTCCCACGCTCAAAATGGGATGTGCCACCAACCTCTTCCCGCCACGTCACTAGTGTCTCCACAGGGACACCATCACCACAGAAACCAGCTTGGGGGTCAGCACCACCTGCCAGAGCCAGGAGCTACTCAAGGCACGCAAACCAGCCCCACATCCTGCTCCATGAGAAGCACTGTGACCCTCTTCCACAGCGCAGGACACCAAAGCCCTGAGTCCCCAGTGGCTTGTCAGTGGTCACAGGTGGTGAGGCCACCACCAGAACTATCATTCCCCAGTATCTCGCCTCCAGGGTTCCACCAACCCCAGTTCCTTCCTGCTGGGACATTCACCATCACACCCCAGCACCCACCAGGCACCTGCTCCAGAGCGGAAGCTGCAGAAGCACTGAGCCGGGGTGGGGCTAGACAAACAGCCCTGGAGCCAGCCCCACAGTTCTGGCTCACCATGGGCACCGCCCACCAACAGGAGCACCAAGGAACCCAAGCTTCCTTCTAGCACACACCCCATGGCGATCAGAGGACTCGAGACAGCCAAGACTCAGGCGGGCTGGCCTGGGATCAAGCTGACGGCCGAGGGGCACTGGGGGCAACCCATCACAGCCTTGACCTCGTCCCACGATTGAAGGGACTACTCAACAAAAGCGTCCACGGCCCACAAAGTCGAAGATGCGGTAGGCACTGAGAGTGCCACCGAGCCGCATGAAGGGACCATTCGCTTCACCAGGAAACGGCCTATGCAGACCACCCAACGCTGCTCCGACGCCATGGAAACACCTCTCAGAATCGAAACCCGCGGCCATCTGGGGCCTCCCTCAGGGCCTCATGTAAGTGCAGTGTCTGGCTAAGAGGGACCCAGTGCGGATTCTTGGAGGAATGAATAAATGAATGAACAAGTGACTCAGGCACACCTGACTCAAAACAAAGAACAAAGCTACAGAGGAAGAGGTCAGACACAGGCATCGGTGCCGGTCGTGACGCTGCTGGCACCAATGCCTGAGGGCACAGGCCAGGGCAGCACCCAGTCCCTGCAGAGCGGCCCCTGCAGGGCAGCCAGGGCTATGAGGAGTGACCCACACACAGAGAGGCTCCAGGCTTCTCAGCACGAAGCCCCCTGTGCTCCTGTCGTCCAACTTGAGGGAGACTCCAGCCACCCCATCACCGGACAGGGGGCTGCTGCCTCTGTAACACCGTTTTTCCGTGTAACTAACTTTTGAACCGGTTCTACTTTTCTATGTAGAAGTTTTATTACAGTATAATTTAATCTGATAAAACTCGGGCACTGGAAGTGTGGAGTCCAGTCATCCTGGCTGCACAGTTATCCCACACCCAGCTTTAGAACTTCCCCATCACCTCAGAAAGGGCCCCGCCCTGCCTGTAGGTGCCCCAAAACCAACTCCTGCTCCCAGCCTCAGCCGCCGCTCGTCTGCTTTTGGTCAATAGAGATTCACATTTTCTGGATGTTTCACACAAACAGAGCCACACGCTGTGTGTTCTCCTGCGTGGGCGCACGCGGTCTTCCAGCCCCACCACATGGTGCCCTGCCTAGCTCTCCGCCCTTCTCACTGCTGACCGCATCCAGAGCAGCACTGGCCGTGTCACCCGTGTTTCCACAGGGAGGGCAGCATGTATTTCCCCCACAGGACCAGCTGGCTCATGCTGCTGTTCTGCACAGGCTGAACCTTGCAACCGCAGCCCTGCCGTGGCCATGAAGTGGGTGCAGGCGGCACCTACGGGGAGGGCAGGTCCGCATCTCGCTCACACTGTGTGCATGAAGCGGGTGCAGGCCAGCGGGCCACAGCTTGCTGACTCCGGCCCCGTAAAACCTTAGGGTCCAGCAGCCTTTAATCTTTTGTGACAAGCACCCTCCAATCTTCAGTGACTGGGCGCTGACCTGGTGTGGTGGCGTGGAGGGTGTAGGGAGGGATGGAAGTGGGGACAGGGCCAGGCGCAGTGGCTTAGGCCTGTAATCCCAGCAATTTGGGAGGCCAAGGTGGGCAGATCATTTGAGGTCAGGAGTTCAAGACCAGCCTGGGCAACATGGTGAAACCCCATCTCTACTAAAAATAAAAAAATTAGCTGGGCATGGTGACAGGATCCTATAATCCCAGCTACTCAGGAGGCTGACAGAATCACTTGAACCCAGGAGGCAGAAGTTGCAGTGAGCTGAGATTGCACCACTGTACTCCAGCCTGGAAGACAGAGCAAGACTCTGTCTCAAAAAAAAAAGGGACAGGGTGGGGATGAGGGTGTGGCCTCGGAAGCTGAGCCAGATGGTGGTGGTGGCCGTGACAGTGGGTGTGGTGGTGGCCACTGCTATGGCCACATGTCCGGCCTGAGGTCCATGTGTCTGGCAAAGCATGAGGGTAGGCAGGGGGTGGGGAGGGGCATGTGCAGGTGGCCGTGGGTGGCGGATGCAGGCAGAGGGGACGCAGGGCAGGGGAGAGGATGGTGAGACAAATGATGGCAGGTCATCAGCCTCCAGTAAGGCCCAGCCTGGAAGGTCCAGGGCACTCTTGTCCCCACTACTGAATAAGTCAAGGAGAGCAGGAGCCTGGACACACCCGCTCCCACCCAAATGACGGACACAGGCTCTGAGCCACGGAGCCACGTCAGGCCAGAGCCAGGCCAGCAGTGTCCATCCACGCACCTCAGCCTCCCTGCATCCTACCTTGTGTGATGTCCCCGCCCCCACCACAGGCACAGGGGTCCATGCCTCCCTCCCTCCCAGCCCCAGACCCCAGGGACATACCGGGCAGGAGCTGTGCAGCAGCTCAGCCATCTGCTTCACGGAGCCGGCGCTGGATGCGATGGTCTTGTTAGTCTCCTGCTGCGCCGTGTGCCTGGGGACAGAGAAGGGGTCAGGAGCAGAGGTAAGGGAGAGAGGCAGGGGAGGGGAGCGGGGGAGGGAGGCAGGGGAGAGGGGCAGGGGAGGGGGGCAGGGGAGGGGGGCAGGGGAGGGAGGCAGGGGAGAGTGAGGGCCCAGGAGGGTGCAGCAAGGGGGGACGCATGGGCAGAGTTGGGGAGACAGGGACAGACGGATGGACAGACGGAGAGCAAACCGAGACACACAGAAAATGGCAGAGGGAAGAAAACAAGAGCAGGGCAAGGGCAGCAGAGAGGAAGAGGCAGAGGCTCCGAGAAAGACGGGACAGAGACAAGAGCAGTGACTCCCACCGAGAAAGAGGAGGGAGCCCAAAGCCAGGACAGAGAGGGACAGCAGACACCCAGCAGGCCACAGGGAGGGCAGAAAGGCTGGCGGGTATGGGGCAGGGGAAGAGACAATGCAGGTAAGCTCTGGCTGGGGTGGGTGGCACAGGCAGCCAAAGCAGTGGCAGGTACGTCTCACCCATCAGCCACTGCCAGGACTACCTTGCCCCCACGCCGCAGCCATCCCCCAATGCCCACAGACAGGTGCCCAGCCACAAGCCCACCCTGTAGAAAGGCCCCTATGGGGTCAGCTCTCCTTGGGGTCAGCACAACGGCCCAGGGAGGCCAGTGGCCCTCAGCCCCACTGCACACACCTGCGAGGTCCCGGGTGAGATGGTTCCCACACCCAGGCCCAGTGAGACACAAGGAGGCCAGGACAGTCCCAGGCTGCAGTTCCAGGCCTGCCCTCAAAAGCAAGTGGGAAGAGCAGCTGTCTCCCACTTGGGGTTCGCCACCCCCATCCCTGGACAGGAGACACTAGGGCAACCGTACCCAGCCCAGCTGCAGGCACAAACACCAAGTGCAGGAGGACCCTGGCCTGGAAGAAACTGGGGAGCCTCAGAGACCCCTCCAGGTACAGCCCAAATGGCCCGAGGGCCCCTCAGGCATCACCCAGGGCCTGCTCCAAGCCAGCCTCGGGGCCAACAGGTGGGAGCTAGCCCAGTGCCACCACAGGCCAAGCCTACAGGAATGGGGCCCACCTCCTGATACCCACCCTGGGCAGGCAGAGCCTGTGGCACACAGAGGAGTAGGAGTGCCCCCAGAACAGGCGCCAGCAGGCTAGAGAGGGTGTGGGCCAAGGAGGGTGAGGAGCCATGAGGTTCCCACAGCCTGCGTGGAACCTCGGGGACAGGAACTTCCCTCCCCGGTGACTTGGTCAGGCCACCTCCTCCCGGGGCTGGTCTGAAGCTGTGGAGAGCCTCCAGTGCCTCCAGCCCCCAAACATGCCTCTTCAGCCAACCACTGGCTTAACACTGCGAGGATTCGGAAGCAGCGTGCCCCTCACTCCTGCTCCTGAGGGTCTCCTCCTCGCCCTGGGCTGCCCACAGCCTCCTGTCCCCAGCCCACTCTCCTGCTAAAGAAAGCTTTGATCCTGCCACTCCAAACCTCGCCGCTCACCAACGGTTCCACATTTCATTCTGGTCAAAGCCAGAGTCCCTCTAGCGCTGCTCCAAGCTCTCACGGGTGGCCTCCTGCACCTCCGACTTCACCTCCCCACCTGACCTGTGTTCACTTCACTCCCGGCCCACAGGTCTCTCTGCTGCTCTTGAGGGGGCTGGCAAATCCTTGCGTTTGTTCGTTTCTAGGCCTGGTACGGACCACCAAGCCCTGGCTGCTGACCCAGGAGCGTGTCTGTGGTCAGGCTGTCACCATGGGGTAACGCCCCCAGTACCTGCCCACACGGCTTCCCAGGCAGGGCCAGGCAGGCCACGGCCCCACATTCTTCCCCGCTCCACGCTGACCTTTCCCCTCCTCTAGACTGTCACGGTGGCAGGGGCTGTCCCTCACACCCCTGCTAAAACACCCTTACAGAGCCCTGAGGGCCAGAACAAAGGCAGCCGCTTCCTGTGTGCAGCTGGTCAGGCTTCTCTCTTTCCAGGCAGGATCTCATCTCATCTCCGTCTCCCTCACAAACTGTTAGCACCATGCAGGATCAAAGCAACTGAGGCCTCCTCACCCGACCTGGCAACCCCCCAGGCTTCAGATCACCCTGCCAAGTCTGTCGTGGGAACAGGAGGCTGCCAACCAGAAAGCCCAGCAAGTGATAAAGGGAGTGAGGAATGAGCCACCAGTCAAGGAAGGATATGGGGAGGGCCTTCCCCAATGCTCGTCCCAAAGAAAGACCTGGTGGACACCTCCAACTCACAGCCACGGTACCTGCAGTACCACCTACCACAAACAGGCAGACAACACACTTTAAAACACACACACAAAGCTAAGGATGCAGCTAAAACAGCCATTACAAAGAAACTATTGCTTTAAATTCTGATATTAGAAAAAGGAATAAAATCAATGTCCAGAAAGTTCACCTAAAGAAGCCAGCAAATTAAACACAAAGAAAGTAGAACAGAGATAATAAAGGTAAGTTCAATACTTAATAAAGTAGCAAACAGATCAATAATAGAATCGAAAAACATTTAAAGAATTACACAGCTCTGCCAAGACAGGTCAGGAGGGAAAAAAACCACATATGCAAATTACCAAGATAAGAATGAAACAGTGAACCTGACTACAGATCCGACATTAAAAGAACATTAAAGAAGCACAGATCATATCAGGCCCATAAATTTGACAACTAAGATTAAACAGAAAAATTCCTTAAAAGTCACAAATCATATCAAAACTGACTCAAAAAGAAATAGAAAACCTAAATAGCTCTACATGTATGGCAGGAATTCAGTTTGCACTTAAAAACAGGGCTGCGAATACACAGCCACAGCACGCTTCAGTGTCAGTATCAGGCAATCCCAGAAAGCAGAGAAGAGACACACACTGTGAGGCCCATGTTACCCTGATGACAAAACCCAGGTACAAAATCTAAAGGAAAGAAACCGATATATCACTCACCCAGCAGCAAAAATCTGCCATACAATTTTAGAAAAGTGAATTCAACAATCTGTGAGAGGCATACAATACCATGACCAAAAGGAGCTTACCCAGGGGGTCCAAGGTTGGTTCAACATTCAAATATCAATGAGTGTGGTCCTCTCATATCAGCAGAGCAAATTTAAAAAGGAGAAAAACACCTTAATAGATCACGCAGAAAAAGCCTGTGACAGAATTCAACACTCACTCTAGACTAAAACTAAGTAAACTAGAAAAAAGAAGGGGACTTCCTCAACCCAATACAGAGGGCCTATCAAATAAAAAACAAAACTAAACCTCGTATACCTACAGCAAAGACGGAATGCCTCCCTGTGAGACAGGGAAGGAGGCAGGCGTGTGTGCTTTTGCCACCTTTACTCCTCTTTGTGTAGGTTTGCCTTGGAATAAAGGGAAAGGAACTAAGAAGCATAAAAATTGAAAATGAAGAAGAACTGTCTTGAGTCACAGAGACATGTGCATCTATATAGAAAATCCCGAGAAATCTACAAAGAAGCCCCCAGAACTAATCAGCGAGGGAATCTATGCAGGTCACAGGATTCAAGGCAGTACACGGAAGTCACCTGTATTTATATGGGGCTGCAGCCAGCAAGAGGAAGGAACACAGAGAAGAGAAAGGCCGGCCTGACCGCGTCCATGGATTGGATGATGACATTGCTATGAAATCTTTAGTTTACCCACAGATTCAAGGTGATCCCTAAAAATTATAGCAGGCTTTTTTAAAAAGAAAGAATAATTGACAAGCTGACTCTAAAGTGTACACTGAATTACAGAAGAGCGTGAGAGGAGATCTGCTTGGGCAGCACTGCCAGCAGCAGCACTGACACAATTGGCTGAAGGCAGTGGCACGGGGCAGGGGACGGGGTGGGACAGCTCGTGGCCTTGTTCTCCACAGTGGACAGGGAGCCATCAGGGACTCTCTGGAATGCTGCCTGTAGCCAAAGTATGAGAGACATCCTAAAGAGGCACTTCCAGACCCCTGCTGGCACAGGGAGGCCCTGTAGGGGCACAATGGGGCAGCAAGTCCAAGTGTGGTTCCCACTGGAGAGGGCTCTCCTGGGAAATGATGGCTCCACTCCGAGGCTGGACACAGCCCGGAAGGCCAAGGTGCCTCAGCCAGGGCAACAGAACAACCCAGGACCAGCAAGGCACTTTACAAAGCCCACACATCCCCATGACCACTTTACAAAGCCCACACATCCCCACGACCACTTTACTAGCCCACATTATCCCCACAACCACTTTACAAAGCCCACACATCCCCACGACCACTTTATAAAGCCCACGCATCCCCACGACCACTTTACAAAGCCCACACATCCCCACGACCACTTTATAAAGCCCACGCATCCCCACAACCGCTTTACTAGCCCACGTATCCCCAAGACCACTTTCCAAAGCCCATGCATCCCACAACCACTTTACTGGCCCATGTACGTATCCCCATGACCACTTTACAAAGCCCATGCATCCCACAACCACTTTACTAGCCTACATATCCCCATGACCACCTTACAAAGCCCACACATCCCCACGACCACTTTATAAAGCCCACGCATCCCAATGACCACTTTACAAAGCCCACACATCCCCATTATCACTTTACTAGCCCACATATCCCCATGACCACTTTACAAAGCCCACACATCCCAATGACCACTTTACAAAGCCCACACATCCCAAAGACCACTTTACAAAGCCCACGCATCCCCACGACCACTTTACAAGCCCACGCATCCCCACGACCACTTTACAAGCCCACGCATCTCCACGACCACTTTACAAGCCCACGCATCCCCACGACCAATTTACAAAGCCCACGCATCCCCACTACCACTTTACGAAGCCCACGCATCCCCACTACCACTTTAAGAAGCCCACGCATCCCCACGACCACTTTACGAAGCCCACGCATCCCCACGACCACTTTACGAAGCCCACGCATCCCCACGACCACTTTACGAAGCCCACGCATCCCCACGACCACTTTACGAAGCCCACGCATCCCCACGACCACTTTACGAAGCCC